TCTCTGCTCCCGCTCTGCTCACCCATTCCACCCGCACCAGCGCCCCCTCCGCCGCCCCCCCGCCACATCCCCACCTGCACCACATCCGAGTCAGCTGCTGTCGCCCAGCGCCTCAGCCGCAGCAGCAAGTCCCCCGGCAGGTCGTCAGGTACACAGCTGAACAGCTTCAGACACACGCGGGCAGCCAGCGCGTCCTCGCGACCGCCCGCTCCGGGGAACAACACAGAAAGGAGCCGGGAACTACCGCCGCCTCCGCCACCGCCTCCGCCATCGGGCCCATTACTGCGGTCACCGCCACCGCCGCCACCGCCATGCGGCGCAAAACCAGCGCCGGCAGTATCGCCTGTGTCGTACCTACCAAATCCACGGCCACCGCCGCCGCCGCCATCATCGCCGCTGCTTCCGCCGCCAGCTCTGCTAGCGGCGCTGTGCTGCTGCAGGCCGCGACCGCCAGTCCCATGGAGCCCATTCATGCCGCCGCCGCCACCGCCGCCACCGAAACCAGGGCGGTCAATTGGCCCGGCATCTTCGCCACCGCCGCCACCTAGGGCGTACTGCTCCAACAGCTGTGCCGTCATGAGTGCCGGGCCACCCAGCACGTGATACCTCCGCGCCGCCGCCCCCAGCAGTTCCCCAGCCGGCCCATACGCCGCCGAACCGCCAGCCGCCGCGCCGAGTCCGGCACCCCCCGAAACCAGCAGCCGGCCAGCACCACCCAAGACGCCTTGCACACCGCCGCCGCCGCCGCCGCCGCCACGCATGCCGTACCCTGGCATGACGTCATAATAATCATCGAGGCCGGATGATGCTGCCCACGCCGACGCGGCCTCTCCGAGGACAGCGGTGTTGCCGCCGCCGCCGCCGCCGCCAGCGGTTAGCAACCTCAGTTGCGCTTGCTCCGAATGCGAAAGGCCCAATAGGAAGGCGCCGCCTCCGTTAGGCTGCCCCAGCAGAGTCAGCTGGTCAAGCGGTAAAACACCGGCGTCCGATCCTTGAAGCTGTCCGTGCAAGTGGTGCTGTTGCTGTTGGTTATGGTGGTTATGGTGGTCGTGATGCTGTTGCTGCTGCTGCTGGCGCTGTTGCTGCTGTTGCTGCAGCAGCTGCTGTCGCACAAGCGCGGCCCGACGCTCCTTAATCTACATTAAGACGAGAAAGGGGGGGACAGGACGGGAAACCATAGGATGCAGAAGGCAAAAAAGTCAGCTACCAAGAAGGGGGGTTTGGGGTCTCTGAAAGCTTACGTGTGCAATAACGTTGCGTGCGAGTGGCACCTGAGAAATCTGGTGGCTGCGGCGGTGGCGGCGGTGTTGTTGGTGTTGGTGGGGTGTGTGTAGGGGGGTAGTGGAAGAGGTGTCGGTGCAGGAGCAGGAGCACTCGCACAGGCAGGTAAATCACAACATCCGCCAAAACATGCCGCCGCCGCCTCCCTCCGTCCCACCATCGCCCACCCTCCGTCCCACCATCGCGCTCAAATCGTCGTGCCGTGAGCTGGAAGCTGCGGACAGCAAGTTCGCCATCGCCCCAGCCGGCTGCTGCTGCTGCTGTGATTGAAGCAGCACCGCCCGCACAGTATGCCCATCGGCAGTACCGCCGCCACCACAACCTCCGCCTCCGATATCGCCTCCGCCGCTGCGCACTCCGCCAGGCCCCAACAGCCCCGACAGCGACCCAGCCTCCCGAGCCGCTGCCGCCAGCGCGCCCACGCCCCCTCCCTGAAGCTGCTCCAGGAGCGCCGCCGCGGCGTCGTCGTCAGCCAACGCCAACCCCCCCAGTGTGCGTTGCTGCTGGTGCAAACCTACATACTGCCCGCTTCCGCTTCCGCCACCCCCCGCTCCACTGCCTCCGCCAGCCGCCAGCACTTGCAGTCGCTGACCTACGCCGGAGCCCCAGGACGCCATGACGGAGCCGCCCGTGGCGCTGGAGTGCTGCAACAACGTCCCTCCTCCCCGCTGCGCCGGCACCTGCTGGTGCTGCTGGGGTTGGGGCGGCTGCTGGGAATTAGAATGAGAGTGCCGCTGGTGCTGGAGCTGCGGCGGAGGCAGGTCCGGAGTGGCCTGACGAGCGCCAAGCGGGTAGTGCTGCTGCTGCGGCTGCTGCTGCTGGTTCCGCTGTTGAGGTAGGATGTTATCAAAGACGTCCAGCAGCGACAGCGCCGCCGGCCCCGCCCAACCCCCGCCGCCGCCACCGCCGCCGCCGCCGCTGCTGCTGCTGGGCCCTCCCAGGGTGGCGGACAGCTTGGCGGCGTAAGCTGAGTCGTGCTCACGTAACGCAGCGGCGGAGGTAGCAGCGCCGCCGCCGTCACCTTCAAAGGCCGCCAGAAGCCCATCAGCCTGGCGTCCGCCGCCGTGCGGGGTGTACTGCTTGGACGAGGCTGCGGACAGAAACCCGTCCACTTGCATAGGCACAGGGCCCCCGTCGCCACCGCCCGGCCCGGTGTTCCCGACAGCCATGTAGCTGGCGGCGCTGCGGCGCGCCAGGGATGCCGCCAGGTGCGACGGCAGGTTGGCACCACCACCGCCGCCACCGCCGTCCAAGTCGCAAGACTGGCCCATTTTCTCGGTCGACATCCAGGTCGGCCCCCGTCCGGCGAGGTGCTCCTGGCCGCCTGCTTCTGGATTGCTGCTGCTCGTGCCGCCGTTGCCGCCGCTGCCTGTGGGCCGCCGAAGCTGCTGATGTGGGTTCGAGTCCATCAGGGGCGGCGGCGCCGCCGCTGCTGATGACGCCAAGGTACGTGACTGTGGCACGCCACCGCCCAAGACGGCATGGTGATGTCCACCGCCAGGATGCGCCCTGCTGTGTACGGCAAGGGTGGCGGCGGCGCCCACTGCCTCCGAGGAGTACTCGGACCCCCCGCTGGCCCCCCGCACCTCCTGGGGCCGCCTCCTCGCAAAAGCCGCACTGCCGCCCTGCGATGGATGTGTGGTTGTACGACACAAGATTTCAGCTTATGTAAGCTCGGCGAGCTTATGGGGATCAATCGAAAGGGGCAACGGAAGTGGAACAGCAGCGACACGAGAGCCGTCGCCCCCCTCCATGCGCTGATTTGCTTCCTCAGAGAGAAAGGGAGAGAGAAAGGCGGGCAATGGACCGGTACTGGTGCCGTACCACCACGTGCTAGGTACAGCATCGCGGTATCAATCACGTGTAGTACAGCGACAGAGACAAAAACAATCGCTTCACATGTGTGTGTGTGTGGGGTGGGGGTGGGGGGGTGGAGAGATATGAAGGGATGGAAGGTTAAAGCGGTCCTCCGCTGCTGCAGCAGGAACCCTGGCCAGTCTGCAGCGCTCTCCCTCCCCCACATGCCCCAGCCCAGCCTGCAGCGCCGCCGGCCGGGAAGTACGGGCCCTGGGGGCTGCGGAAAGCGGGCTGTAGGAAGGGGATCTTGCGGTGGAAGGGAGATAGGACGGCGCTCTAGCGGCCCACTCCGCGGTGGGAAGGGGGTTAAGACGAGCCATTCGCGAACCAGCCAACCAACCAACCAACCAACTACCCACTACAAACCACCCACCATGGACGCATCTCCGCTGCCAGCCCTCCCGCCGCCGCCGCCGCCGCTATCGTCCGAGCCGCCGCCGCCCGCCTGACCGCCGCCGCTACGTCCCGGACTGCCACTCTGAACCAGGGCCGGGGTGGGTGGCAGTGGGCGGCTGTGTAAGGAGAAAAGAAATTCAACCACGTGTAAGACCCCACCCACCAAATCCGCTGCAATGGGGAGGGGAAGAATTAGCAGCTCAGGGTTGCGTACACTTCCCAGCTGGGACGGGAGTGCCCCAGGTTCAAAAGGGTTTCGGAACGGGAAGTGTTAAAAAAACAAGAAGCGAGAGAGAGGCCAACGCGATGCGGCAGGAACAGCAGGATTTGGAGCAATCACTACGTGCCATTCCCCTTGCAGGCAGCTCGTCCTAAGATTACAACCTGACGCGGGCGCCTGCGCGCCGTACCTGATGTTGTTGTTGCTGCTGCTGCTGGTGCTGGTGCTGCTGCTCAGTCACTAGAGCGATGGCTTCTGGGGCAAAGAGCTCCTCTGCCGTACTCCCCTTCTGCAAAGTGGTTTGCATCCGCCTCCGCAGGTTGCGGTCCTTGGAGCGTGCGGCGCAGCTCCTGTTGGTGTGGCGGTGCCGGCATACGGCCATTGGGGAGTGGGGAGGGGTCATAGGGGAAAGAAACAAAGAAGGAGCTCCCACAGTTCCCACAGAGGCGGTAACTGTGGGGACAAGAAGCAAGGGGTTAAAGGGGCCAGAGGGAAAGGAGGAGAGGGAAAGACATGACATTTCTATGATGTAAAAGGAAAAAAGCAAGTTGTCAGCTGCCGGCGTCTAAAGGACCAAATGAAATAGATTCCAAAAAGGGGGGAGGATGGGATGTGACATGGGGGGGGGGTTAACCGGGAGGGGAGACGAAATACACAAGGTATGGTGGGCTATGTGGTGGGTTGTGTGTGATTGGTGGGCTGTGCGTAACAGGAGGCTCCGAACATAACATGAATGGAAGGTACGACACGGCGCCACCCACCTCCGAGCACCTTCGAACTCCCGCAGATCCTGGAACTTGTTGCATTGCTGGCAGAACCGCACCTCTTGACCGTGAAGAAAAGACACATCGGCTTTGAAGTGCCCCTCGCATACCGAGTACCGCTGCAGGTAAGCCTTCTCGCCAGAAAGGTCCTTGCCACAGCCGTCAACCTAACAATTAGGACATCAAGTTAGCAGCAGTCGCAGCATCACCATATATCACCATATCACACATACGCCTAGAGAAGATACGTTCAAACACAAGCAAGGCAGCATGATCGGCGTGCTGATAATTTCGAAATTAACATAACATGTTCTTTAAGATAGAGTTCTCCCTTAAGGCGCATCTCAACTCGCCCTGCCAGCGCCAACCCGGCCTTCCCAAAGGGGCAACAAGTCAACCCATAGAGCACAGCATCCTGCATAAAATAATAACCAGCAAAAACAATAAAAAGAATCAAAGCTGATGCCACAGGCGCAAAACTAGAGAAATTGAACTTTGCCCCGGTCAGACAGCGACATACGAACGTTTAGTTGCCATCAGATTATGTATCAAAGACCTTGTGACGAGCCCGATAAGTGCTTTGCAGAAACGATTGCTTGGATGCCAGGCAAGACAGGCAAGACGGACCTGGCACGTCGAAGGCCGTGTTGCTTTTCGCGACTTTTTCGGAAGTAAGGTGATATCAGTATGGCCGGAAGCATGCCGCAATTCCTCGCCAGTCTTCCGTGCATCCGCGCCTGGTGACCAGCCGATTACCCGTTTAAGCTGGGAGGGCTAGGCAAGGCAATGGCATATCCTCTCACCCTGAACACGTGCAAACCCAAGGTAGGGATCCATACTGTAAGCTGTGGAATCCCATGCAGCCTTGCTGGAACCTCGCGCGCCCTCACTGGACATGATGACTTTATCTTACACTCCCACAAGAAAGTTCAAATTTCCTTGATTATCGAATCATTTAGATCATTTTTGCTTAAGCAGCATAACGTTCATAACTTATCAAACTTGCGCGTCCATTTATACGTAACCAAAAACTATTTCTCCTTGGAATCATCACAGCAATCGACGTGACTATACAGTTTCTGTAGATACCCACAGGCATCGGAAAGCTATGCAGTACAAATGTAGTGTACCTAGGGTGTACGATTCGTGAGTTTAAGGATACGGCGTAGCTGCAGGCAGGTCAGCCTGAAAAACTACACGAAATGGGTGAGCATGCACGAAATGGGGGCCCTAGGCTATAGTGAGGTCTGCTAGAGGCATACCTGAGCAGGCGAATGCCATGCCAAACTTCGGGCTCTTCGACACTTGCAAGAATGTAGAAAAATACTCCATGCAATGACATAATTTTTTTATTAATATTGCATAACAATAGTTGCCATGTTAGGTTACGGTCACCGGCACTTGTGACCGGTACGGTAATGTTGGACAACGTTTTGGTACACACATCTAAACTCCTAATTAATCCATTAATCTTAACGAGATAAATAACTTGGTGCTTATTTGGTGCTGCCTTTATGTCTTGTGGTGTCAATTTCCGATTTACCGGGGTACGATGTAATTCGGCTTTGCGGCAATACGGACAATACATGGTGAGACCAAAAGCCAGACTGCTGCGTCGCATAATAAATCTTGCGATAATGAGCTGAGAGACAAGCTGGACAGCCCATTACTGCTAAAGAGCCGCTGTGCGTTGCTTTTACATCCTACGGTGGGTGCCCGTAGAAACTGCTCAAACTAGAAACACCTCAAACTCCGGCGTACAACTAGTCCTGCTGCCGGCCTCACGGTCATCCGCCGGGACATATATGTGACTTGTAGCACTTGTCTATCAGGGGCCATGGCTGGTGCCCGCCCGGCAACTTGACTCGCGTGTCGAGTCTCTCCGTCGGAATTCATCTGCCGTCCGTACAGGGGCTGATGGACACCAATTGGTTGCAACCGCCTGTCTTTTACTCTGTGCGGGTCTTTATCATCCTGCCCTTCCACTTAAATGACAGGTCTTATGGACTCCATGCGCACCCGAAAACGATATACACTACGACGATTAAACGTCGCATTCAACTGCCCTCACGATGGACACGTGAGGAAAGGTACGAAGGTACTTGACACCGATTTAGGGTCACATTGGCTCACAGGACAATGAGATGGGTACGCTACTTCATGTTACCCTGGGGGGCTGGCTCATTTCATCTTACTCCTGGACATAGATGCATGACGGGCATCGCACCGGAAGCTTGATGCTCTTGGCATTAAGTGCAGTGCTCGTGTTCATGCTAGGTCTAAATATGCCTCGCATCCGGGGGCCGTATTGGATGGATTCATCCTGACCAGCTCTGGGCGACCCAGGTGGACATGCTTTAACCAGCCTGTGAGGTAGGTCCTCTCTCATATTAGTCTGCAGTGGCGTTATGTCCCACCTCCCATCTGCGAGGTTGGTAACACGCTCATGCACGCGTTGGATCTCGTACAGATCCGTGTTGCAGCCCGTCCATGCCCGATTTGCATTTCGTCCAAATCTGTGTTGCATTTCGTCCACAAGATCGTAATGCAATGCAACCGCCCCAGAGGCGAGGCCAACCATTCGGTAACAATTTATCTTGTCCATGGGGATTTTGACCCTGGATGCGCCAGAGGGCACTCCAGGTGGGAGCCCGCCAAGCTGCGTCTACTAGCCACGTCGTCACCAGCTCAACAGGTTTGTGAAGCCTAAGATGCTGTAGCCTTGGCTCCCTCAAGTGTTCAAACCGGTGCAATCCACAAACACTGAATGGCGGTGTGGGACCGGGACTGGCTGTCCACGCTGGTCCCACGCGCAGCTGAAACGAGCATGTTGGAGCAGACTCTCACGAAGGCATGCAGCTGCAGCTGCGAGATGCGCGAGCAGTACGACGACGTACAGTACCGCGACGTGAAAGACACGCGACGTTCCGATTTCCTTCAGTTCTGTACGGCCCATGAACGGAAGGCTAAATCACGTCGTGGTAAACTGCAGCTGCCCTGGAAGGCGGAACTCGAAATGGGTTGGCCCTGTGAAGGTTCCCATCTAAAAATCGCAGAAGTCATTAGCACAACCACCTCCTAGCGATGTTGAAATCCGTCACTTTGGCCGCTCCCGTGAACATAAGTGTTGGGACTGTTGCTTGGAGCCTGTTGCCATCCGCATTGTTTACTAACACCTACACTATGCAACCTATTCCAGAGATCTACCAAGGAAGCAGGCCCAAGCGTGGCCATCAAGAGGGACATCGCATGAAGATTACACGTAATTCTTTTTCTTCCGCCGTTGGGCGCATGTCAGCATTTTGATTACCATACGTCTGTAATTTTGCTGCAGCAGTCATGTGTGTTAGTATAAAAAATTCCTACAACGGGTTGCCAAACTCCGCCATTCCGCCGCCTTCTCTTCTGTTCTCTAAATTTTCTTTCCTAATCGGCCTGCCTGAAAAGGCAAATTTCCTTTTTAACTATTTTAGCATCTCTTTTGAGGAAAGGGCCTCTTTGCGTTGGATAGAAAAACCGCGTGGAGCATACCCAAGCATGCCTTCGGTTCCCCTCCCACTTTCCATTTCAATACGCATCAGCTCTCATTTGGGTGTAATCTTTAACGCGGAATAGGACATTCGGACCGAGCGAACTTATATTCATAGTATCGCTTGGGATGTCCAGGTAAAGGGCTGTCCCTGCTTGTTTGCTTAAATCTGGACTCAACGATTAAATCGTATGCGTGCCATTCAAAATTATGGATGAGTATTGGTTACCATACGTCGGGAATATATCAATTCAAGGGCATCGAGGAGATGTTAGGGTCTCTATACAAATTGCACTTTGGCACCTGGTCTGTGGTACGTTTCGTCGGCATCAAATGCAGCTGCAGGCAGGCAACTAGGGGCACACCAATGCCCCCTTCTGCTGCCTCCCTGAGTCGCCTTCCGGCAGGGGTACGCACTTGGGTAGTGAATGCAAAAAAAGGTTTCTTGAATTTATCATAATTGCGATGACTTTTTATGTTTATTATTATCCTATTAGTGATATTCTGATGGACGGTTGGCGGACGGAAATGCTGGGAGTGGGAAAGTCTTTGGCGAACACCAGACGCGACCCGCCAGGCGTAATTGGATGCCAATCGGGCCTGCTGTTGATGCTCCCATGATGCTCCCCAAATATTCAAAACTTATTGCAGATATGTGTCGTATTAAAAAGCTAGCCGTAAACACCCCTCAGGCGCCCCGCAGGCGGACACTTGCTCTTTGGCAAGAACACGTCAGCATGAAGGCTGCCCCATTGGGCAAGGTATACTCTACTCATCCCCTCCCCTCGCCAGGAAAAGCATACCCTTGCAACGAACTGCTGTTTATTTTGTTTCATCTCCATAATCGTTGTCATAGTCATTACCATAAGAAGGCAAAGGCGGGTGGGGGACCGACTGTAAAAGCCTCTAGAGCGGCCCATGGACGGTGAGGTGAGTCCAAGAGAGAGCTCAACCCCCCTGCTCCAAGCACCGCCCTGCAGCGCACCTGCCGCCACTGTCATTTGGACCGTACCCCCGACTCCCCAGCAGCCCCGTACCAGCTACAGGCTAAGTGAGTGATATCCAGGGCGGGTGTCCGGGGTCCCGCAGCGAATGAACGTCTGTAAGACTGGGCACATGGCACATAGCACATGCTGGGGACATGGTGTTGATCGGAGGGCCGGGGAGGAAGGATTTCGGGGCTTTTAAGTCCTCTGAGCCGTCGGTCAACCAGGTGTGTCTTCCGCGCCACCTCCACCTTCCCTCAATCACGCCCAAACACACACACACACACACGCACGTAAGCTGGCCATCGCCGGCATCGACCTTCTCCCCGCCATCTAACAATCGGTTACCGGCAGGGCGGATGGCGTAACGGCTACATCCGGCCCGCTGTGCACCGCCGTGCGAAGGTTGGGACAGGGAGGGTAGGCGGCCCCGCGCGCCCTGCAGGGGGGGTAGGCGGGCTGCATCCCGCAGAGAGAGCATCGCTCCTCGAGGATGTCCCGAAGTCCCATTCGGCGGCAGCCAGTCAGATGCGCTTGCTGCGTACATCAAACACTCCCGCCCCCGTCTTCACATTGGCTGTGCTTATCGCCAGGGGGTGTGCACATGGCGGGGCCATGGTGAAAAGAAGAGGGGCTGAGGATGGGAGGAAGCTGCGGAAGCACCAGACGTCAGAAACAGACATGCATGCTTGCGTGTGTGCTTGCATGCCTGACCCTGGTAAACGCGGGCCTCAGCGGAAACGATGGATACAAAGCAAGACACAAGGTTCAAATTTGAATAACTTGCAAGGTCGTTAATAACGAGCGCGGCGCTGGGCCGTGGCTTGGAGATAATAATTGTTAGTTAAGCAACATAATTGCATGGAAAGAAGGCAGCTATGACCTCCTTTGCAAAAGTCTGCGCGTTGCATTTCAGGGGCGTCCCGTCGCCGCACGTGACCCTACGCGACTGGGAAAGCTTGAAAGGTCGTGAGCTGTTCAAGCCATTCGAGCTGTACCGCGGCAGCTACAAAAGTCTCGGCCCTCTTGCCTAATCTGGTGTGAGTTCCCACATGTGTCGAAGCTTGATGCGGTTTTATGGGACATCGTTATGTTTGATAGCTGCTGGTATGCATGTGAATGACCCAAATGTCATTAGCGGTTTATCATAAGCCAATTCTCTATCATTTCGCTGCGTTTTTGGAGTCGCGTTTGCAGTATCGATTGCACAGTCTTGCAGCAGCCGTCAGCACCTTGGATAACAAGCACAAGCGAGGCGTGTGCTAGCCAGTTGCTTCCATGACCTTATCATTCATACAATATCAGTAATTTTTTTTCGCCGTCAGTCGCGAGCGCAATCGATGAAAATCGGGGGCACGTAACCAAAAAGGGCTCGAAAATAATTCCCTATTATGTACTATACCGCAGAGCTGTCACAATGTATTGTATTTAACGTCCTCATGTGCGCGTTGACTTTACTCATACGCCCATCTCACTTGTTCCCCGTTTTCTTCGCGGACTTATGGCCTTCAGAAATCACCTTAATCGCGCCGAGTTCAGCCCCTTGCCCCCCTCGTTGCTTTTAACAAGCGGCTCTGCGCCACGTCCCGTGCGGGGCTACCCTGTCCGCGCAACGCGGAACGCGTCGCGGAGTTGGAGATTCCGTTTGAGCGATTGCCTGCGTCATGAAGTGTATCGCTGATTTCGCGTGTGTGGTATATGTTGAAAGGGGGAAGGGGAATGTAGATAAACCCACAGCCCGACGTCGAACGCCGCCTAGTCCTCTGAATCCCTGGTCCCCATAGGCCTCACCGCCGCTGCCATACCAGCGCAGCGGAAATCCATCACCCTTGGGCTGGCTAAAAATGGCAGATTTAAATTTAAAGTTGCATTCGTTAAGAATTAAATGCGTTCGCAATCGACCTCGAGAGTCTCTCCGCGCTGGGCAGGATTCCTTGGCAGCCGAATGACCGGTGACGCCCATACTCGTGCATCGCAAAGGTAGGGGAACTGCGGTCCAGGAGCGCCACCTTTTGCGTGGCCTCCCACCATTTTAATTGCCGTCCGCAATCAAATGCATCGTAAGCTCTCAATCTCCCCAACCGCCCCGGCCGGCCGGATAGCTAACACCCGCGCGCCGAACCAGCACGGACAGAAATGCGTGAGTATGCCAGTGGATAGGAATAGGGGGAGGTGCCGCGGAAAATATGCCGTTCGGTTACGCGCCTTAAACGGAGAGAGGCGCACTAAACAGGCCTCCTATGCGAAGGGGCGGCTGGCGGAGGAGAACCCCGGATGAAAGATAGTGAGGGTGAGACTGTAAAGGCCCGAGCCAGCGGCGACAGCCCAACTGAGGGCCTAACTGCCGCTCTGAAACCAAATTTCGGAGCTCAATCCCGGAGAAGGGCATCCCAATCGTGACTCAGCATGATCAGGGAGCTACGGTATCGCTGACGATAATCCAGCCTTAGGGCTCATTTCTTATTTGCTCTACTTTAAGGTTTTCGCTCGCGTGTCCTTTCCTTGCATCGTCCCTAACTAATGTTTTTGTCATAGGCATCTTGCTGGAGAGCTCCTTCTATAATGCAACCTTAGTAAAGTCTAATTTAATTTAAAAGGTCTGGCTGTACTTTGTGCAAATGTCGTCAAAGCGTCAGCGCTTGGCGGTGGAGATGGCGACTGCAGACCGGGCGGCGCTGCCGGCAGTGTGTTACCTGCCAAGCATAACGGGAGCCGGCGGTGCTGCATCTCCATCAGAGGAACCGATATCCCTTACAAAACGGCTAAAGTTCAATTTACACGCCAAGCAACGTCTCGGCTCAAGCATCCAGCTGGCCCACGCATCGCTTGGCGACATAGAGTTTGTCGGGAGAAGCGATGGGGAAGAAAACAAAGGAATGCAACATTGCTGCTACGCTCTTGCCGCTTACCGTCCGGGCGACAAAAAGCTGCAGCTAATGCATGTGGCAGGGGATCACCTCTTTCGACTCGATACGAGGTACGCAGCGCTGGGCTCTTGGGAATGCCCCACAACCCTCAGCGCATGTATTCATTCGTGCAGCCGCTTGCTTCTTTCCGGAGTTAGCGCTGGCAGGTTTGGCGTTCCACTAATGTCGATTTATTCGCTCCCACCCGGCGCTTTTCCGTTCCTGTCTTGGTCCTCACCAACTCCGCCTGCCCGACAGTCCGGGGGCTCTGTAGTCCTTTTCTCATCAACAACTTCCCCTTTCTTTCCTCGTCCGCCTGTGATTCGTCTTCCCCCTCATCCGCCCCTCCTTCCGTGCCCTCCGCTTCCGCCGACCCCTCCCCTTCCTCACCTGGCCTGCCGCCCCCCCTCTCAGGCTGCAGGGCCTGATATACGCGCCTACGGGTGCGGGTGCGGATGAGGGCGAAGGGGCGCGAGAGAGGCGGAGGGCGGCGGCTCGCAAGTGGGTCGTGCGCTGACAGGGGCTGACAAGGGGGGCGGGCCAATGGCCCCGGGTGTGACGTCAGGATGACGTCCGGGTGACTCCTATCACAAAAAGGGAGATGTCCTTGGGGGGGTTTGGGGGGAAGAGTGGGTAGTTGGAGTGGGGCTGGAAGGGGAGGGGAAAGGGAAAAACAGGGGTTATGTAGGGCCAGAATACCGCTGGGCGGAGAGGAGCACCTCGAAACGGAGGAAGGAGGAACTCGTATGTCCTCTTGTAAGCTCTTATTTGTCTGCCTGTCTGTCTACCTGTGTATATGTCTGTATGTCTGTCTTTGTATGTGTCTAATAAATTTAGATAAGTTTTGGGGTGTTGCCCATTCTCCAACTTGCACTCGCACCATCCGTCACGCTTGTCCTCGCCGAATCCCAACACACGGACCACCAACGACACAACGCCGCGCAGGCTTGTGGATGAGTTCGGTTCCACTCGCCGTCGCCGCCAGATGACGGCTCGTGAGGCTGGTGTGGTGGTGGCGGACAAGATCAGCGGGGGGGACGCGGTGCAGGAGCTGCTGGGGAATGTGGCCGCCCGGGGGCAGGAGGGCGGCATGACTAAGGAGGAGGTGCGTGTGTGTCTGTCTGTGTGTATGCCTGATGTATGCATGTATGTATCTCTATCTGTGTCCACCTATGTGTGTATGTGTGCGCGGGGGTGCCTCTACCCCCATAAACGTTGTAACCCCAAAATTACCCCCCACCCACAGCCCCTGGTCCTCCCCCCTCCCCCCCCACCATCAGGTTTTCCGCAAGGCCTTTGCGCAGCGCACCGTCCCCCCGCACAACCCCGCCGCCACCAACGCCGCGGACGCCTACCCCCTGAACCTGCTACTGGGCAGGCCCGGCGGCGAGGCGGCGGCGGCGGAGGACGGGGCCTCCCTGGTGGGCGACCTCCACGTCTCGCAAATACACCAGTTGGCAGAGGACGAGGAGGTGGGCGGCAGCGAGTGAGCGGGTCTGTCTGTCTGTCTGCTTGTCTGTCTGTCTGTCTAGGTTTAGTTGCTCCGCTGCATTCACTAACTCCTGCCCCCTCGGTTGGTCGCCTAACAAACAGGAGCTGGATAAGGCCCGCGCGAAGGAGCTGGTAGGCGGTGGGGAGGTGCAAGCCTGGGGCAGGGTTCTGGTGGGATTTTAGGAACTGTGGGGATCTCATACATACATACATACATACATACATACATACATACATACATACATACATACATACATACATACATATACATGCGTACGTCTTCCAAGTAACTCCCTTCCGCTATTTTCCTGACTGGATGCGCCAGAGTGCAGTTTGCGCAACATCACGAAAAGAATCTTTGTGGCTGTTCACGATCCTCCGCCATTTCTCCTACCTGCTTTCGAAAGGTGATTTCCTCCACCTCCACCTCCACCCCAAGAAACCTCCTCCCCTTCCACCTCCCCCCCCAGGACCCAACAACCCCACCACACCTCCACCACACCACACCACACACACACACCCTCTCTCACTCGCAGCCCTCTCACCCAGGTCATACACGCCCCAAACCCCACCCGGCCCCTCAGGTGCACCCCTACGTGCTCAGCCGACTGGGAGCCCTGCGGGCCCTCAAGAACCAGGACACGGCGGACTGCCAGGCGCGAGCTCGCCACCGGGCCAGGTACCTGGCCTTGCTGGCGGCGCTGCTGCGACTGCTGGTGGGTACTTTGTGGGGCGAGGGGGAAAGGGGAGGGGGAAAGGGGGGGGAGCAAAGAGATACCTGTACGATGTTCAGATAAGCCGTGGAAAGGCTGCGAACGGCGCCCGTTGTTTCTTCTCGAGGGTGCGGGGCGAAGGTGTGTGAGGGGAGGAGGGGGGTTGGGGGGAAGGGGGAAGAGAGGGGGGTTGGAGAGGGGGGGGATAGGGGGAGGGGGGGGAGAACAAAAGGGAGAGTGGACGTTAAAAAGTCGCAATGGCGCGGCCCGGTGATACGCGTATTTCCACCTTTCTGGCGCTGTTCTTGGTTTTCATCTCCCCCCCCCCTAAATACACCAAATCCCATACACTTGCAACCGTACCAGTCTCGGCCCGTGCTCAGCGTCAAGGGCGAGGGCATCATGGGGTTGTCTCGGGAGCTAAGACTTCGCGAGTCGCTTACAGAGTTCGTTTTGGAGAGGTTCTACGTACGGACGTGGGTGCGGGGGCCGGGGGAGGGGAAGGGGAGCTGGGGTTTGTTGGAGGGAGATTCGTTGAATACGGAAGGGAAAAAATCCGTGACCAGATTTGCTCTCTGTTGCTCCTGGGGGGAAAAGATGGGCTGAGTATTGCAAAAGTGCGTCTTTGGACATTCTCCAAGGTCCCTCCCCCCCCCTCTCGTGATACACGCACACATACACGCACACATACACATACACGCACACATACACGCACACATACACACAAACGCACACGCACACATACACACACAAGTCAATACGCTCTCCCTAACCCGTAGGCAGGATGTGCTACGAGGTGTGCGGTACGAGCGACCCGACGCGCAAAAGCAGTTGCTGTTGTCGTACATTCTCGCGGTGGCCGTTGTGGCGGAGGACGGCTTCCTGGACAAGCCGCAGTTTGAGGACCTCCGAGAGGCGCTGAAGGTGTGTACGACACCGTACGGACCATGTGGTTGGGGATAGTCATGATCCCAAATGTAATGTTAACCTCCATCCCCCTCTTCTTCTCGTTGCCGGTCCCATTGGGGCTTTACTTCCAGAGCCACGGGTCGATGACTTGATCGCTTAGGACTTTTGACGCCTTCCGGCATCTCATTTCTGAATTTCTCTCATACTTTCAGCAATTGTTGCTAAGTAATAATATTTATTTCAGTACGATGTTTATTTACAAGATTTTATACTTTCCCCTTTACCCCTCCCCCTCCCCTCCCTTCCCCGCTGCTGCTGCCGCTGCTGCTTCAGCTGGATGCCGCCAAGTTGGCTGCTGCCCTTCAGGAGCTGGGCTGTGTAACCCGGAGCGTCAAGCTGGTGGTGAGGGGGGCCTTGGGGCCGGGGGGGTGGAGGGGTGTTTGGGGGTCCGCTCCTTAGCGTAGAGCACATCCCGGGTTGGTTTGTACGTTTGTATGTATGCAGGTGGGTATGTATGTATGTATGTATTTCACCACTGTCACTCCTGTTGGGAGGTGATGAGGATGATGGGGGCAGCAACTGCTGCTGATACGGACTCCCGTTGCTGCTGCGGACTTCTGCTGGTCTTTTTTCCAATACCCATTCGTACTCCCTTTTTTTACCCCTCCCTCCCCCGCAACCCCCCTTCCCCACACGCGTACACACACGCGCGTACAAATACATACATACTTACTTACTTACTTGCACAGGTTGAACGTGACAACATTCCGCGGGAGATCTCCACGTACACGGCTTCTCTTCTCCGACAGGGCCTGCAGGGCGGTATCGCCAAGACGCTGGAGGAGAGCTTCCCGGTCATTAAGACCGCACGGGGCAAGGGCAAGGGCGGGAAATGATGCGGCCAGTAGCTGCGAGGGAAAGGGTACGAGAAGATTATGATGTTGGGTGATGATGATGATGATGATGTTGGGTGATGATGATGATGATGGAAATGGGGGAGTGGGAGAACGCGGGAGGAGGAGGTCGAGGTGGGGGGGGTTGGGACGTTACATGTGTTTTTTCTGTTAGTGCGAGGGTCGTGAGGGCGGCCGAGGAGGTGGTAGGGGTACGACCTGGCGCCAGTGACGGGAGGGGAGTAGTAGTAGGAGGGGAGTGTTTGTGGAAGGTGGGTACGTGAGTGTACGAATGGCGGGCGGGACTTGTTGGAGATGGAAGTGTTTTAATTTGGTTGCTCGCGGCCTTTGCTCTCTTTTTCTCTCTTTCTTTTATTTCTCTCTGCAAGTACCGCGGCTGCTTCTAAAAGACTGGCGACACAATCGCAGTGATGAACTGCTGGGGAGCGCCACCGGTGGATCGGATGATCTTGCTTCTAGCATGAGAACACGAGGCAAAATGGGTACAGTTCAGCTTGGGTGACCTCCGGTCTGCGTTCCGTTCTGTCAGCATGGGGGGGAGTTGGAGTCCGCTTGCGGACGTGTAGCATTCCGCAGGCACCCTTTCCCTGCCAACCCTGCTTTCCGTTCGGCAGGTTCTCGACCGCGTGCACCACTTGAGCTAACGAGAACGTATGCCACGTGTATACGGACAAAACCTCGCTGTGCGCATGAAGCTAGCACTCGCAGGGTGGTGCGCCACATGCCACATACTGGTTAAGAGCCCAAATCATTACCATTACCGCCAACAGCAGTACGACATAGTTCGGTCACATTTCCCAACACCCAACAGTGATATATATACGCACGCACGCACTCATACAGTTTATTTCTATTTCACGACCCATCCATCCATCTACTTAGTTATCGGAATAAATAATATAGCGGCGTCAAAAGCATTCTCTCCAAAACCCCCACCAACATAACAGTCGGCTCACTCCTCCGTCCTTTAGCCCCCTCTCCAGTGTAATATGATAATCACTACGGTAGGAGTCATTGAATGCCAATGAATGAAGCAATCACACCCCCACTCCCAGCTTCCCCTTTTCAGCCCCCATGCATGGGACCTCAGCAGCAGTCCGCCCGACACTTCTCCCTCCCTTCCCTGGACTCACTTTTCCCCCAAAATAAAACCGTGCGTCCACCCCCGTCCTTGCCACGCCGCCTTCCTACACACACACCTCTCCTCCCAACACCTCCCCTCTCCCAACCTGAACCCATCTCCACCTACTGAAACTGAATCACGACAAGCAGCCATCAGCGCCTTTTCTACCTCTCTACCCTACGACCCGGCCCCCAAAAAAACAACCCTAAAACGGCCCCCGCTATTCGTCACATCACTCCCCCTCTCCCTCCCCTTCCTAGGGGGGAGGGGTTGGCCGGCCGGTTGTCCTCCTCACGCGCACTCCAGGGGCTCCAGCCCCGCAAACGACTTTCGGTTGTACCACATAACCACCTTGGAGATCTTGGGCGCCGGCAGCCCCGCGTACTTGGCAGTCTGCTTGCAGCTGAACTGCTTGTCAGATGCGCCGTTGCGGCCCGACTCCGGGGAGTGCGAAATCACCACCTCCGAGGGCGCATTATCCGGGCTGCAGGGGCCCCGGGGGAGCCAAAAAACAAATTTGGCAATTTGGGTGTGTGCGGATGGATTTCGGAGAGCGGGGATTGGGAGGCGGAAGTGGGTGAGGTGGCGACAGCTGCACCTAGCACGCAGAACGACCACACGGGCCGGGTCGGGTCGGTGGAATCGGGTCGGAGAGGGCCTTCCTCCTGGCCCCCTCACCTGCTGGCCCCTTTCCCCTCTTTTCCCACCCAATCCATCACGTTCCCATTCTCCCATTCCCCACATGTACACAAGTACACAGACAGGCGTACTCACCGGTTGCACATCACCACCAGCACCGCCTGCCGCGCCTCCGCGCCCTCGGGGTTCTTGATGGTGGCCGCCCGCCACTTGAACCCCGCCACCCCCAGACTTCCCTCGCACTCCGCTGCGAGAGGGGAGCGGGGAAGAAACAACCCACACATATATATGTATATAAGCTGAATTACGTACATACATACATACAAGGCAGGTGGCTGGCAGAAGTTAAGGCCTGACTTCTGCTCCCGGAGGTTCCGGGTTCGAATCCGCCTGCCGATCCCCCGGTGTGTGAGGGGTGTTGAATTGGGAGGTGGCCCCCCATCTTGTGGACGGTGTAGGATTTTATCAACTTGCGAGCTGGCCAGGAACTAAGTTGTGGCGCCGTTGATCCGCTAGATTTGGTTGGATGCTGGTGGTGAGTTGCCGAACTCAACGAATACATTCTGAAGTCGGATGGGGTGAATGGATTAGGGTGCCCCTCTCGCAGGGGAGAGCAGGGAACTGCCTCGGGAAAGGGGGCCGCTGGTGGAGCTATGCCACCCTGTAACAACATACAGAGAACCTCTGGAGGGGTGCTCAGCTTCAGCACTATTCGTGAGCGGATGGGGGAGAGTGTATTGCTGGACAGGCGCAGCGATAAGAGTTGCGGGTGCCTTTATATCGACGCTGTATGGTCATAGCGTGGGGAGATTGTCGTGGGGAACAGCGGCGCCTCGCTAGAGGAGAGGGTATAGGGAAGCCCCTTAGACTGCTCCTGTCGCTAAACGGCCCGTCATAGCCCAAGCTGTTACGCGCAAGCGTACCTTTCCGCTGAGTCTTGAGCTCCAATCGCCCAAAAATAAAGGTATCGGCCGTGTCACCCGAGTACTCTATGGATAGCGTTTTGCTGCGTTCAGGGATAAAACGTTAAGAGTGCGAACGTATGCACACGGTTACCTGGGTTTGCACTTACTTGCTGCAGATAAGACGCACCGATCCAATGAAAGGCTCCCCAAATGACCAAGAGTCCTCAATATAGCCGACTTCGACTCCGGTCAGGAAACCATTCTTGCATTCGACCACACGCCTGGCGCCCTCATGAAAACCAATTAATGCAAGTGGCTCTACACGTGTCCGTGATGAATATTATCAGCGGTTGGTTATGCATGTAATCGGCCCCTCACGATCAGACATACCCGCTACTTCAGCTGCAGAGGCGCTGAGCGCGAAAAAGATAAGCGAGATTGCCAGACGATGCAGCATTACAGACGGCCGGTGACAACGAAAGTGAACTAAACTATGCTTTAGAGCTGCAGAAGCACCAGCTTACGACTGCCTTTACTACAGATTGAAAAGTTGTGCCGCCTATCGGTATGTGATCTAGAAAACGATAGAACCAATCCTGTAGGTTGAAGCTCTACAGAGTTAAGGATCGCGCACTGCGGACCGATGGGGGGTGGACAAAAACAGAAGTTCACCTAAATGCATCGTATTGTCCTTATAATTTGACCCAATCAATACAAGCTATTAACAGCACTTTTGCCTATTCCACTGTCAAAAATAAGGCCCATGCATGCTTTGCACAGCTTGTTCAGGCTTCATTTCAATTGTATATGCTTACCTGCCTAAATACTATGCATTAGGTCATGGAATGGAACGAACAAATGTAAGTGTCCATCCCCCATGTTATTACCAGCGCGTTCATTTGAGCGTGAACGTTACTTCAGGATTATATGACCTCCAATTAGTCAACTTGAAAATATAACTATCTAGCTTCTAACCTTGTGAACAAGGTATTCAGTCCTTCGGCGCTTATACCTTGTCAACCGGCATGAGATTTTGTTAACCTTTAGGTAGCATAAGGAAAAATGTTGCATCTTCATATGTTCTGGAACTTGCTAGATGACTTTGCCGTTGGGGAGCGCCTGACCGTCGGCATGCGAAATGCTGTGAGCATCCTTTCGGCGATGCGTCTTGGGGTGATCAAAGGGATGCCTTAGGATTTACCAAAGCAACTAAGCCCCTCTCACCAACGTAATTATTCCTTTCCCCTGGCCGGTTGCAGAACCCATTTGACTAGGCACGGACTGGCACCGGAGCAGCGGCGCGGAGAGTGAACCCACCAGATATGGTTATCGATATCTACAAATTACCATTAGCATAGCGCAAAATTCCAACTCCATTTCCTACCAACGTCGTCGCCAGTTTGCATTTTAGTTAGCAAGTCGCCATGGCGACCACGTTAATGGGTGACACCATCGCCGCTGATGTCTGGATGCGCGGCCTGCGCGATGGCGATGCGGCCGTGTGGAGTAGGCCCGTGCGCTCCCCACGCCTGGACGCCGCCTACGCGGCGGTGCACGGTGGCACCGGCCAACCGTTCCCAGACGACCCCCTCCTGCAGCAGCAGCTACAGCCCTACCGAGGCGGCAGCAGCAGCCGGGAGAACTCCCCAAAACTCAAACGGTGAGCCCCACCTCACTCCACCTCGCTCCACCTTAAGGCTATTCCTAAGGACCGCTTCTCCCTCGCCGTTCTTCCTCTCTGGCCCCGCAGCCCATCACCTCCTGTACGGCACACCTCCTGCTTCCCCCGAAGGAAGCCCTCGTCCCCATCCTCTCTCTTCTCTCTCCTCTCTTCCTACCTACCTACATACACACCTGCTTACTCCTCGCCTGCTGTTTACGGTTTGTCTGTCTGTCTGTCTGTCTGTCTGCCTTTCCGATGTCTCCCCCCCTGCAGTAACAACAGCGGCAAGCTGCAGGGCGGAGTGGAGGCGGAGGGGGACCTCCGGGCGGTGGGGCTGTGTCAGAAGCCGTCANG